ATGAAAAAAAAGAAAAAAAAAAACACGATGACAAAATAAATATATGAAATTTACGAGGTGTATTTTCCAGGCTCAGTAGGAGCTTGAAGGTCTACAGATACATAAACGCTTTTGCCAGGTTCTAATGAACCAACAACGGAACCAAAATCATCTTTTTGATCAGATCGCAATGCATCATTAAACATGCGTTGGCCACCAACGAATCGTAACGTAGTATTTTCAGGCCACTAAAATAAAATAAATAAATAATAAATAAAAAAATTGATAAATTATAAAAATTGATAAATTATAAAAATGTAAAATAGAACAAATTATATCATTATATAATTTAAATTATTAAAAGCTTACAGCAACGTCACCATCATTAGACATGATCCACATCTTACGGAATTGAGCCTGAGGGGCCAAAAAAGTGCCATCAGGAAAGTTAGCATCACTAATAAATTTAGCACTTGGCCTTTTTTCAGTGAGGGTTTCTACGGAAATCTTGAATGGAACATCGCAAACTTCATCTTGAGAGATAATGGTTGTTACATTTGATAAAGGTGAAGAGGGAGTGACTTGAGTAGTATGAGTTTGAATTGTTTCTTTTTCAAGCTTTTCGGGTGACGATGATGAAGCAATTGGTTTAGCCCCTAGAGTATAATTATATAAATCGACTGGAGCACGGCTGATTACCTTTTCACTACTGAATAAATAGATTTAATAAGAGAAACGTTAGTTCTAATTAACAGTAAATGTAAATTACTGTATAAAAAAAGAGCTTACGTAGAATCTTCACTATTAATTGGTCTGATTAAAGGAATGAAAGGATTTGAGCTCGAAGCATCAGAGTTAGAATTGACCAAAGAAGTTTGTCTCGGTACAGATTCCATCTCTTTATGAACATTATTTGATTGAGAAGACTGTTTACAATCTTTAAAACGACCGGTTTTTTGTTCAACTTTTGAATAAAAATCATGCAATAATGGTTTATCGGTTCGAAGTCTTTGTGACACGGGGTTTTTGATCTTTATGAAAACATGATTTTCATCATGCTTGCTGATGGGATTCGCTTCACAATTTCCACACAAATCAAAGTCAAGACAATTGCCACACTAATAAAAATGAAGTTTATTAGAATATTTGGACGTTATAGTAGTCTAGATGGTATTAAACAAATTTAAAATTTTTTAGTACCTTATATCTAACACCATTGATAGCTTTCCTACAACCGTCACATCTAATTCCAGGGTGGAACGCAGAATCTGTAAGAGAATCATAATAATAAAATATAATAGAAGCATTTATTGTCAATCACAATGTCAAAACTATATTATAGTTATTATTACAGATAATAAATTACAATAACAATACCTGTAATCTTAATTTCAGGATCACCAGCTTTATGAATTTTCATAAAAGTGTGACCCGGATGTTGAGTTGGGGCAAGGGCTAATAATAAGGTTTAAAAAAAAAATAAAAATAAAGAGAGAGAGAGAGAGAGAGAAGGGTAAATAATTATTAACAGATAATACTAATGAACCGTAAAAAATGATTGGTCCACGGTCCAATGTTAAAATGTCAACATTTGTTTTTTACGTACCAATGCAGTTGTTGCATAAATCAAAATCTGGACAATTGATGCATTTATGGCGAATACCTATGATTACAGACTCACAATAGTCACAAGTGGCAGAGTGATAGTTGGTCCCTAATTAATTAATTAAAGAAAAACAAAGTGATTAAAGTTATAAAAAAAAAAGAAAATTTAGATAATAATTAGGGTACACATTATAAACTTACCGACTCTACTAAGATTTGCGGATGAACGATGATGACGATGATGTCGATTTCTTACAGGATATGAGATAGATGTAAAAGATTGATGTTCATGTACACTTGGAGATTGGTTTTTGCAAGTTTGACAGAGATCATAGTTTGAACAGTTATTGCACTTCCAGCGCGTGCCACGAATTATTGCCTTACAACAGTCACACATAATAACATCATCATGAACAACGAAATCAGCTACATAATCAATAAAACGTAAATATAAATAGGGAAAAATTAAGAGGGAAATTAAAAAGTATCAAGTTATTACCTGAAGAAGCCCGTGACTCTTGTGTTTGTACATGACGAGTTTCACTAGTCTTTGATGAATTTGATGAGTTGGTAGCATCATTTGTAACATGAGTAGACTCAACAGTATTTGAAGATTGGAATTGCGTGGATCTTTTCAAATTTAGATCTAATGAATCCCTTACAAACTCTTTTTCAAAAGTATTGCTAACTTGAGTAACAATGTTCTGTACTATGTCTTGTAAATTTTTGATTCCCGGATTTAGTACACTTTCGAACAGATATTCATGGAAATCATTGTAGCTTGCATTTGACTCGTTGGAGGTTGGTACTTTGTCTTAAAGGAACAAAAAACCGGAAATGAGACCTCCAACGATGAGACAGTAATAAAACTACAATGTACTTAAGTCTAATACATACCTGGATCAGTATCGGAAGAGCTATGATCAGGTAGACTAGGAAGTTCCTTATTGATAAGGGAAGGTTTTGGTTCTTCCAAAGTCAACCAGATAACAAGACGAGGACTGTCCTTAGAAAGGGACCTATTATGTTCTATGGCTTCTCGCAAGTCATGGTCATTATCAATAGTAATTGCGTCTTCGTCCTCATCCGTATAACGAATTTTGAAGGTATTGGTCTTGTGAATTTGAGACAACTAGACATAAAGAACAGTTGTAATGATTCATAAGGGAATAGTGAATTTTTATGATTCCATAACAGCAGCATGCAGAGCAGGCATTCCATAAGTTTACAATACCTTTGAGTGTAAAGCTTGATAAGAAACGTCAGCTATCTTTGGAAACGTAAGGCGGCGCAGTACTGCGGGCTCGTTAGAGCAAGTCACCTTAAAGATAACCGGAGTATTGGAATCCATTGCAAAGTTATATGTATATTTTTTTTTTGATTTTTTTTTTTTTTAA